AAACAAACTACTCAGGCACTATTTTAATAAGAGCCCAAGTTTATTGCCAAGTCCTCAATGCTCTTCCTCATATTAAAAAAAAGTCCATAGGGGACAACAAGTCTCTCCTTAGCACATGGGCTTATCTTTTATCTTCCTGTTAACTACAAACATTATCACAGGCACTTGATAAAAATCCTCCCTGGTTCCTTGAATTTCTAAAGTCACTTGACTTTACACTATTTATACAAAGCTCACTCAATCCTCAAGTACTTGAAAAATTAAAGGAGATGAAGAGAACTTCACAGTCATACCCTGGTTAATGATAAACTTTTACTACCAGCCTCACCCCAGAAATAACGCACAATTTTTACTTATCTTCAAAAAAAGCATGTCAGCATGGAAACAGACTGTTACTGAAACACCCCTCCGATTAGAACAATTTCCAAAATAATGTCAACACCTCAAATTTCTCATGAGCTCTCTGGAACAACACCAGTGAGAAGCCCAGACACATTTCCCTTTTGAGTGTCTCTAAATGAACATTTCCACTGAGCTGGTATTACTCCAGCTGCACAGAACTGTGAGACCAAACAGTGCCAGACCTGAAACCCCACTACTCTCCCTTATTATCCCATTTTTGATGGACTGAGTTCAATGAAAAACAGGGTTTTTCCTAGTTGGTATTTTGTAAAGACAAAGATTCAGGACAGCACTTGGTAACCTCACAAAGTTCGTATTTAACCTTAACTGAAGTCTGTGTGCAGCTGTAACAGGTCTCCCATATATTTGCCCACTGCTCAACAGAGAAAAGGATGAAAGCGCTGACATGGCAACATCCCACATCTGTACAGCAGTACTCATCACACCTAAGGATTTCAACTGTGCCTGAGGAGAAAACACTACTGCATAAGATGTTCCAAGAAAAAAGAGAGTATTTTTACCCAAGGATAGCCACAGAAAAAGTCTTGAAGAGCAGTGATTAATCTTTATACTACAAAAGTCCCACAGAAACCACTCTGGGAAACTGGAGAGGTTTCATTTATGGCCAGTCAGTGGGGAAGAGCCAACCCTGTACATCCCCACTGCTGCTTATCAGTCCATTGTTTTTTAGGTCTGCTGTAAAAAAAAAAAAAAAAGGCCACACTACTGACACTTCCACAAACTATATTTGGAAAAAAAATTTCTACTGACTTTACAAAAGTTCTGAACATAAATACATCTCTATAGCAATAAAAAAATAAGGGAAATGTTCTGGTCATTTCCCCAACACAAATGAACACCCACTTATTCTGGGTAGTGTTCTGTCCTGCCATGCAGGCAGGGCACCTCACAGATGAGGAATTTGGATCCCAAAGGGCATTTGAGCCCTGAGAGATGTTATAAGCAACACAAACT